TGCCACGGCCTCTGCTGGCAGAGTTGCAGTAGCTGAGGCTGTAGAGACACGATGCAGTCATTGATACTCATGTTTACGAAGTGTTACATATGGTAGCCCAATGGCTTGAGGGACACCAGTCCTTCAGTCTTTGTAATAATGACTGACTTTCATTTACTGGTGTGACAGCACTCCTAATGAAACACCCAGAAAGAGCTTCACAGGTGCCGGAACTGGAAGGAAGAAGAGGGTTGCTTCTGTCACTGTTCTTTGATACATTCTTTGTATAGATCTCCCAGCACTGGCCCTTCTGTTCCAGGGGAGGAATGTTTGTCACGAGAACTGAGAGCTGCTCAATACCGTGGTGGTGTCTGTTTATGTGCTTGTGGGGTGGAGAGCAGAGCTGAGCAGGTAATGCACACACCTTGCTGGGGCACATTACAACATTAGAAACATTTAAATTCTTATGCAGAAGAGATTTCTATTTAGAATGGGTCTTGTCTGCATAAAGCATCCTGAAGTATCATAGGTACTACAACGTTAGTGATACTCTATATTATTCCATATAAGACACTTGATGTGAAACACTGCACTGTGTCTTTGCCAGGTATTCTCATTGGTATTATTACAAACAGCAAACAAAGTATATTTGATAACATTTTTACTATGGCTTTTTTTCATAGGAATTAGACCTCATTAGAAATCAGAAGCAGGATTTGTTTTGTGTACTAATAAATTATTAAAACCAGTAATACATAGCAAGATAACATGCCAACCCACAGAAATCCTTCAGAGTTGTTATTTTAAACCTGTGTCAATGAACAGTTTATTCTGAAGCATTTCAAATGTGTATGCATATGCATTATATACATATATATTATGTATATATATAGGTAGTGACAAAGCAAGTAGTTTAATACATTTTATGGCTCCAGCCTGGAGTTCTGCATACAGGAACCTGTGTGTGGTCAAGAAGGCTTGCATACTTTTGAACTCTAAGTTGGCCTAATAAAAGATATCATACTACAGTGCTTGCTTTGTCAATCCTGTTTTGCTGGCTTAAAATGACTTGCAAGATTAATTTTCAATTTTTAACATAAAATCCAAGAAAAAGAAGTGTTTACTTACTGCAAGGAGTTGATTCCCTGTTAATGACCCTGAAGGAGGCTTGTACACAAGGTACAGATTGTTGCCAATTTGATGTATATTCATGTTACAGAATATGAAAATGAGAAGTTATACCATCTTGAGGGTTTTGTTTTTATAAGTTAAAAAAGCTTTTAAGTAATCATTCTGTGTGTTTGATGGTGGAAATTGGTATGAATGTTTCTGGCAGTGGAATGATGTGATGTGGTTATGCATTTCTGTTTTCACTGCCTGCTCAATATTGGCCTTTTACAAATACAGATTACCATGTCGATGGAAGGAATTTACAGCTTTGGCCCCCTTGTCTCACTCTGTGTTACAGCACCTTTTTTGGTACTTTATGTTGCATATCCTCCCAACTGCATTTTTGTGACAGAAAAAAGAAATGTCTGTGAACTGAGGTCCTGAAAATGTGTGAGCTTTACTATTTAATTGAATGAAATGAGTATTATTTCCTATTTACCTTGATTTCCTGTGGGGTGAAATTTTGCTCCTCTGAAACCAGTAGCAAACACTCTGCTTTGTATTAGAGGATGGAGAGTCCATCTGCGATCCCTTACCAGCTAGTGACATGGCATACTGGAAGCTCTGAAAAAAACAACCCTTAATAATAATAATGATGATCATAGAAAGAATACTCTTTCAAAAGTCAAAATTTAGAGCTGCCAAATAAAACCCAAGCTGAATACAAAAACTGTATGTATGATGAATTTAATGCTGTTAGTTTGGGGGCCTCACAATCCAGATAGAGCTGCAAGATCCATTTGTGTTCTGCAGGCTGTTACACTGCATCCCATACTTACCTCATCTTGTGGGCAAGGAGCTGCTTGCTCTGACTTCATGGAATTGCAGCTGTATTTGTGGAGTGCTCTCGTCCTTTGGCACTGCCTCTCCTGTACATTAATACAGTTTAAATTCACCAGCATTTTCTCTGGAAGCAAACTTCAAAATTTGTCTTTAATCTTGATGCAATGCATATTCAGAGGTTTTTATTTTCCTGGAGTTTAGTTCCAGAGGAAAACATACTTGACTGGTGCTCCCACCAGCCAGCTGTGGTTTATAATGACAAAAATGAACAGCAAGATACTGCAGCAGAAAAAAGGGGAGCAGAGAAGTGCAGTCCAGCAGCTTCAGAGATATGATTTTGTTCACTTATAAGGATTCCAAAATGCTTAACAAACATTATTACAGGCACGATGGGCAGCTCTGGCCATTGTGAAGGTATTCTAGTGCTTCCTGTTTCAATAGTTTGTTTATTTTATTTTATTTTATTTTATTTTATTTTATTTTATTTTATTTTATTTTATTTTATTTTATTTTACTTTATTTTATTTTATTTGTTTCATTTATATATTTTAATTTTAATTGCCCAGAGTTCTGCCAATGTGAATGTATTTAGGCTAGATTTATTTTTGTCCACTGCCAGTCTCCAGGTCTTTAAGTTTTTAAATTGAAAAGTGGTTGAACTATTTATAAGAAGAAGGCTAGATTTTTACTTGATTAAAAAATAATAACTGCCCCCTGTGTTTTTGAGCAACGAGAGGCCTTTCTCTGCCTGTGAATCAGGTATGTGCCTTTTGCCATCCTCACAAAACCTTTCAAGTTTGGTCGACTGTTTCAAGACATGGAAAAAAACACAGTTACCAAATATCCCATAGTGGTTTTCTAAAGCCTAACAGCAAATATTTCCAGAGATTTCATCTTCTCCACCTCTCACAGCTCCTTCCTACCATCAGACTTTCCATTCACCGTCCTCACAGGATGACTGAACAGTCACTGGCTGGGGGCACCAGAGGCCAAAACTGAGGCAACCCCTGTTGTGCTGTCCCTGGGCGTTCCTTTGAGCTGCAGTGATGCTCTGCAGTGGATCTGGGAGTAGGGAGCCGGTCTCTCCTCAGCTGGAATGCATCTTAGGGCTCCCAAATTTTAGTTTGCATGCTGTTGTGCAGCCTTCAGCATAGTTTCTCTTTGCTGCTAGCCTGCACACACACAGACAGTTGGACAACATCAACAAGACCCTGAGCAGCCACATCTAATGGTGAAATGAGTCCTGCTTTGAGCAGGGAGTGGGAATAGACAACATCCTGAGAGTCCTTCCCAGTCTGAGTCCATGGTCCTGTGACTCTTCACTGACCATTTCTCCACTAGTGTGTGTATTCCTAAAGGCAGCATTCTAGTTGATGGGCTTCTGTAGGTATGGTGCACACAGTGGAAATACTATTTATTACTTTATTTTTAAAAGAAAGTGTATTCAAAACGCCTCATTAAGATAATATTCAAGATGCATGGACAGGTATCCTAAAATTAAGATTAAAAAAATGATCTCTGCAACCTCAGTATGCTTCCAACATGTGTTTATGTGGAAACACTGACTCTAGTTTTGTGATTGCGCTGTGTTTTCACTCACATGGCTTCATCTCTGTATCCAGAGCAGATCTAGCAGGGATCTGCTCTGGAGATGGAGCAGCACCAAGAAGGATTGGTGCATGCAGAACTCTAGCTCATTTGTTGAGAAGGTGCAAGGTATTTTCTGATTGAAACAGGGCATGGTAGAAAAAGAAAACAAGATCTTCATGTTTAGATATTTGAAGCTTGTTCTGGAGAGCTGGAGAGTATCCTTGCCTCTTCTACTGTCTTCCTGTGTGGTAATGGGCAGACATTTCCCCAGTGGTTAATCGCCAAAAGACCATTTCTGCTCATTCCAGTAGTATCTGGAACATGATGACTGTGCAAATGTCATCCTGCAATCACAACTCTTTCTTTGGTAATGTCATCTATGATGTTTCATCTAATAAAGCCTTCATCAAGTCAGGTTAGGTAATTATTGCTTCCTTATATCTGTTTATCATCTAATGTTCACCTTCTTGTTTATATTTCTACTTTATACTTATAAATATTTATAAACAATTATTTATCAATGAATTGGGCAAACTATCTTGAAAATCTCTGAAATTCACTGAAATATTCAGGCAGCATATGAGATTGTTTTTCAAATCTCAGCAGGATTAATTAGATCCTGCAGTTTATTCATTTGCACTGTAGTCAACTGGAGTCTTACTTGTGGAAAGTCTGCAAGACCAAAAATTATGCCCAATGGGCATATAGCTCTATAGTAGAAAATGTCAGCTCCAGATGGTAGTATTTCTGACTTCTCAACCGTTAGATTCTCTCTACTCCCACACTTTTTCTCTCTTTCTCAATCAGCTTTTCTTGCATTTTTATGTGAGTGGGTTTTTTTTTTTTAATGGTTCTTAGAACTTAATGTATATATGGTACATGTTTTCATTTACAGATCACTAAAATAGATAGGCAGATAAATAGATATGGTTTTCTGAGCTTGTGAAATATGTAGCGTAATATAAAACCCTCTTCTAAGTCTGCTTTGTCAAATTTATCAAATGATATTTTTAAAATTATATTTCTGGAGTATATTTTCAGCATTTCTTATTGTTGTTCTTAATCTGTGTTTGACAGTCGCTTAATCTGTCTGATATAACTGGAATGAATAGCAGTATTTAAAAAATATGGCTTCAGGGACTCCTCAGGAGGTTTCTTTGAAAGTGTACATTTACTAGTTCATCTGTAAATTTATTTTATGAGGTGTTTAAACCTCAAGAAAACTGAAAAGCATAACATTAAAGCCTGGTTTACATCTACTGAAGTCAATGGGAACTTTGCAATTGATTTTAATGGTAGCCTATGCCCTCTAATTATGAAAGTGGCAAGGATGACATACACAAAACCACAAGGAGAATTTTTTGTTTCATCATATCCTAATTCTGTTTGCAGATGCATTTGTGAAGTACAATGTGGTTCATTCTTGAATTAAACAGTTCAGTGTTTGGACCTAATTCTGAACCATGCTGACATTTTAGGTTGTGTTTTCCTTCTCGACAGATCGCAGACTACTCATTTTCTCTGGGGTTCATGGAGGTGACAAGGTAAGAAATCCAGCTAAATGTTCAAATTTTCAAAAGGCTTTTGAAAATTACACTTTTGATTTTGATCTTACATCTGCACTATGGTGTGAGTAATGGAAGAAGTTGATGAAGCAGTTTTCTTTGCAATTGTTTTGTTTTTTTCATGTGATCCATTTTGACAAGGTTTGTGGAAATGCATGTAATATCTGTCGCACAAGTGTACATGTTTTCCCTGAAGGTTCACTGCAGTGTAGTAGAAAGTTTCCACCACGCTATTGTAATTCCAGGCATCATTTTTTTATCATGTTAGTGAAAGTGAGTGAGAGTACCCCACAACAAAAAAAATACTCACAGAATTCAGCTTTTTTTTTGTGTTAGTGCAACAAGCACAGCAGTCTGAACTGGCTAGATATGGTAAGTAATCTGTAGTAGTTAATAATGCTAGACAAAATTTCCCACAAGCTTCTTGCTGAGTCTGCTTTAGACATTACTCATTTGGTGGCCTAAATACCGGTCTTGCTTCACACTTTTAACACTTGTGAAAGATGGAGATATTTTGTTGGTAACTGGAGTTGGTAGAGCTGCAGATAAGAGTTTGCCAAAAGTGTTTGGTTGCTCAGTTGAAAAATGCCACTTGTGGAGGGTGGAAATGCTGTCCCTGGGGTGCATCAGCTGCAGTGGAGCTGCAGACAGAGCTGAGCTGAGGGGCTGCTGCCTGAGCCCTGCTGCTCCCCCCAGCCAGCCCTGGGCTCTTTGCTAGGCTGAGCAGACTGATGACATGGTAATAAATACTGAAATGGATAAAGTCACCTCTTCCTCCAGACCCCAAGTCTCCCCTACCCCAGCATAGCCCCCTCCCACCTTGTCCATGCAATGGGCTAGCAGCTTTCTAGCTTCCTCCCTTGCCTCCTGCCAGACTGGGGGCAGATCAGACCTTTGTGGTCTGCCCCCTCAAGCCTGCTGAGTCCTCAGGCTGCTGCCCCTTCTGGTTATCCTTCCCTAAGGCTCCACTAGAGATTGCTTTTTTTGAGGTATCCCAGTATGAGGGCTGCCAGGAGTCCAGCAGCCCTGGTGTTTTGCTGCCCAGTGATGCAATTGCTTTGGGAATGACCTGGAAATATTGTATACTGTCTTTCTCAAAAAACCCAGTGTGTCATAAATTCTTCCTCAGGGAAAAAAAATATTATTAGTATTTATTGCTGGCCTAAGACAAAATTTGTATGTGTCAAAACTACTTTGGTAAAAGTTAGTAAAAGAGAACCATTCCAGATGGCTGCTGTAGCCCTTAGTTCATATTTACAGTCTAGACATGGACAGAGATCTCTGTAGTATAATTAGAGAAATAAATGACAACTGGAAATTATGTGTCTAAGTGAGACTTAAACTTGCTAGATGGAGGTTGGAGGAAGCTGTGCAGAAGTAGGGATCTATTTCTTAAGGAACCTATTAACATGGTAGATGAAATACTTCTTCAAATGCCCTCTTAGTCAATCCTGTTTTGCCTTAGTTTTGAGGACTACTGTGGCTTCTATGGAAGAATAAAAATAAAATAAATTTGAAGTGTTCACAGGTCTACTGTATTTACACTAAATATAAGACTAAATAGAAACAGGACTGTAATTAAGGCTCCTTATTTTGAAGAGGAAAATTTTTGTAAACTATATGATTTAATTACTCAAGTCAACCAGATTGAGGAGCCTCGGGGTTGAAATGTGGAGGAGGTGTAAAGTTTTAAAAGTTTCAGATATGAAAGCTACCTAGAACTTATATTCCAAACAAAAGACAGTTGGGAAAAACACCTTGTCTAATTTGATGGGTAATCATCACAGAAAAGATGTTTGTAGGTAATGCAAGGACAGAGGAACAAGAGGCATCAGAAGAGAAAGTTGTATCTCAGAGGTAGGATATGCAGGAATAAAGCACAAACAAGTGAGAGCAGCTTGAGAAAAACATTCAGGCAGCATTTGAGTAAAAAAAGTTCTTTTCCAGAAAAAATGTGGGAAAGGAAAGAGAAAGACTTGTGCAGTGGGGAGGAACTCCCCTGTGTGGGATAAACTAATGATGATCTAGCAACAGGGCAAAGTCTGGAGGCTTTCTGAGGGTGTGGAAATGGAGATAACCAACTAAAGAGGAAAAAATCTTAGGACAGTTCATGGGTAGTGGGATAACTGTTGTTCAAAATTCAGAAGGAACAGGTCTATGAAACCATATGTTGCAGTGTCTCATGAAGAGGAAAGGAACCATGTGGCAAGACAGTTCCTCTGTGTGTGAAGGGAGCAAAGGCTGGTGTGAAGATTGGCCTATTGTTCTGACCTCAGGGGTGCAAAGCTTTAAAAGAGATACTGAAGGAAAGAAATTTCTATATAGTAAATGTTGGGTAGGAGGGGGAAAATTCATTAAAAAAAAGCCCCCACCTTGCACATGGTATGCAAATCCGGTACTTTGACTTACTGGAACAGTGACATCTTGTAAAAGCTAACCTTTCTGGATTTCAGTAAAGAGTTTCTGAGGTACAGGAACATATTTGATATATCCCCATTAGATATATCTCTGAGAAGAAGGAGACAAGTACAGAAGTAGGGGAAGTATAAGGTGGAGAAAAGTAGGAAATAGCAATTCTCTGACTGAGTTTATCTGCTGGTTTGGGTCAGGTAATTATGCTTTTTCCCCCCCCCCATGGACTGACATTATATCCTGTGCAGTTTGCAGTGTTTAGCGGTCTTGTGCAGATGCAGAAGGTACTCACAGTGTGTATTCTCTCTTGCTTTGCTCTTACCAGAGTTTAAAACATAAGACATTTTGTCTGAAGGCATTTGTCTTTAGATGGAGAACCATAAGTGTCATTCTGGTGTTCAGGGTAGGATTGCAAAATGACAAACAACTCTGAGAAAGGGAAATGGTGTGGAAAGGAAAAAAAGACATGCAAAAGAGAAGAAATGCAAAAGTATGTAACACTCAGGAACTTTTAAACTTCCACTGTGCAGGGAGCTGTTGTTGAGATTCTGGATCTGTATCACTTTCAGCAGGCATACTCCCATATAGCATCAACTATTCCCAAAGGGAGGGAAACAGTGATGTACACTTCCTCTGTTGCCCTGTGGTCTGGACAGGGAGACTCTGTCCAGGAAAAAGCACAGTGAGCTTTCCTTAGGGGTGGTGAGGGTAGCACATACTTGTGCCTGCAATCAGATCTGACCCACAAGCAGATGTGCAGATGGATGGGTTGGTTCAGGTTTCTGGGAACTCTGGTTCCCTACACAGTATTTCACTTCCCAGTGCACACTGCATCCCCTTGCACACTGGAGACTCCCCGTGCTCACCAGCCTTTAGTACTCTGAAGAAATGGACTCACTTCCCCAGTTGTAAAACTGGGTCTTCCAGTCCTCTTCAGGCCAATACAGAGTGACTTATATGTTACCTGGTATTTATCCTCATGGGACAAATACCTAATTGCTGAGGAGTGCCACGCAGTGTCTGTGCAGCCCAAAGAACTTGCTGCACCCGACAGATAAACAGTTCCCTCTGACTTTATTGCAAAGGACTATGGTTGTAAGGAGAAAAATTTCTCTGAGGCAAATGAAAAAGCTCATGCTGATAAAGATCCATACAAATACAGAAGTTATGTGGGTAAGACAAGTAAAGAAAGCCCGAGACAAAAGAGAGGAAGGTAAGGACTTATTTTTGAAGGAAAGAAAGTACTCTTAGAAGTAGAGAACCAACTAAAGTTAGAGGAAGCTGGTTACAGGGGGAAGAAATGTATGTCTCTCAGGCACAAAAAAAGCTGCACATGCAAAACTAGTGAGAAAATGAAGCCATGGTGTCATATACAGTTATGTCTTGTTCTGTGTGTATCAGTTTGAAGTAATGTTTAAGTTTGATGTTAGAGGTCACTTCTGCAGAGCCTGTGGCTGTCCCTGAGGAGGTCAGCTGGAGCCAGGATGCCTTTGAGGAAGAGCTTCTTGGTCATTGTGTGGTTTAGCAGCTAAGGGAGTTTGGATGAGCCGTGACTCATCAAGGGGCATATGCCGCTTGGTGGGGGAAGGGATAGAAGGACTTCTATGGGAAATAAAGCTGGAAACACATTGCCAGGAGTGATGAGTGCTTAAAAATATTGCAGCTGCAGTGCTCTGGTCCAAACCAGTTTCCCAATAGCTGCTGAATAAGAAGTTGGAGGGATCTATAGCAATCACGCACATCTCACGCATCATCTCAGAGAGCAAGAGTTAAAGTGTTGAAGTTAAGACTGTCCTAGGTGAAATAAAGAGAATGGGATATGAAAGCGTTCCCAAGTTTATTCCATGCAATGTGAGTTTGATAGGTAGAGAGTAGAGAGGAGAAAAATGTGGCCATATTCAGAGCTCTTATCCTTGTGCAGAGGTTTATTGGAATCCCAGGCTATTTGTATCCCCATGTACGGCAATAAAAACTGGAATGACTGCTTAAGGGTGAGCAGCAACCTGAGCTTAAACTCAAGCTGACCTCTAATCTGACACAAAAAAACTGTGTTATCCCTTTGAGATTGGAAGTATCTTTTTGCTGGATTCTAGCAGAGAATGGAGACTGTCATGGTCAATCATTGATAATGATGTGCTCGAGGAGACACTCCTTGAGCTAAGTGGAAGCAGCTAGAAAACCTTTTTCACTAAACCTCCTCAGGCTCTAGCTCTAAAAAGCAGGAACATATTTGCACAAGCATTTTCTTCTGCTATTTCCTCTTTGCTTTTCAGCTAGCTTGAACCTTGTGGGGATGTCCACAGATCTGGTGTTAGATCAGTCTCTCTGCTTCCATCCTGCTGCTGTTTGCAGCAAAGTGCTCACCCTGGCCTATTCTGAAAGCATTGAGATGCAGCTAGGCTCATTGTGAAGCCACTGCTTTGTTAAAGAGGTTAAAAAAGTTAAACTGCAGTAGCCATGTTTCCAGATTATGATAGTCTTAATTGTATGTGTGACAAACAAGGACAGTAGAAACAGAAGTATGTACAGCCATGGGTAGGACTGAAACTCTGATCAACTTTGCAAAAAATATGTTCAAAAAAACTCTCCAGACCTAAACTATCTTTTGAAGTCTTGTGTGTCTTATATTTATGAGTGAGTTTCTAGAAACACCCCCTTCTCATGTGTTTACATTTGCAAAAAAAAAAATTTTTTTTGGAAATCAACCTTTTAACCATCAAAATAGTGCAGTGCTACCTTCTTTTCACAAATGGGAGAATTGAAGGAACAGAGCTGTGATGTTACCTGTTCAAAGCCATAAAGGAGGCCAATGATAAATCCAGGTGTAGAAGTCAAGTCTCCTAAATTGCCATCTAATGCCATAGCAAGCCAGGGTAATCAAAAGAAAGTTTGCTTTCTGATATTACAGTGAGGTGTGCCATAGCAACACCTAGGTATTTATCCAAGGGGAACACATTTGAATGTATATATTTGCCTATGCTCTTGTAAATACTTAGAAAGGTTTCTTTGAATGCAAGTCCTGAATTTAATATATAGTAGTTTTCTTTATAACTATTTTCTTTCTGCCCACAGCAATTTCCTCAAAAGTTATGTTTAAAACAGTTTAGAGTCCAACTTCAGAGTCTTCTTCAGGATCCTGAGCACCTTACACTTCAGCTTGCCTTTACAGAAGATAGTAGATGGTTTGCAGCTCAGAAAAAGGAAATAGAGTTATTTATTGTTCTTAGCATTGGAAATCACTTTTAGAAATATTGCTGTAAATGTGTTGGAAGTCTAAAAAGCTCAGGTCTGACTCTGGTTTAGCTGTAGGGGAGGCTGTGGCAAGAGACCCAGCATCAGAGGAGCTGTGAATATGGAAGCTCATTGCAGAGCCTAACGCTGCCCAGTGCATTGAGCAGGATCTGTCACAGTTTTGGCAAAAGTGCACATTGCTTTCTGTCTCTCACACTTGTGTCCTCCCATACGGAGACAGGAATATGTGCACAATCCTTGTCTTTGAGATCTAATCTTTTGAGATAGTAAGCACAAATAGTTTCATTAACAGCTGATTTTACTTGCAGTTGAGAGTTTGGAGCAGCCCAGCAGCTTTTTGCATTGGGTAGAGAGGGTTTCCTTCTGCTCTTACCTGGGTCTGAAAGAATGATACTTTGGGCTTCCCAAAACAGGGCTAGAGTCCAGCACAGAAACACCACGGAAACACTGGCTTAGTAGCAGGAAGCTTTGTGGTTTATTAAGAGCAAATATTAAATCATATTGAAAAATGATATTACTTCTAAAAAAACCCCTCCTTATAGCAGCTTTACAGTTTCCAAATCTTCATTTTTCACAGTTGGCCTGCACACGGGTGATGAGCATGCTCAGAGAATATGTCTGGTTAGCAACAATCAAACCTCTAAAATATCTGCAATTCATCCATGCTTCTCCCACCAGCAGGTGTCATTCTGGAAAAAGGAAAATATTGTAAATTCCTGAACTGGAGAATTTGGCTGTGACAAAGAAGAAGAAGAAAAAGTTTGCTTAAAATATAGCTTTTGAAGGTTAATTACTCCAAACTAAAATGAAGAGAAATCTGGCTGGTCTGCAATTCTTAATAATCTTTGTGCAGTGTGTAATCTTGACCTATAAATAATAAAGGGCAGACTATTGGTAAGGCAAACCAATGTCTACTTAAAGCTGCCTTCTGCTTTTTACTGTTTTCTCTGATGTGTTTACCACTGCTTACTCACTGCCCCCCTCCATGACTATGAAATCAGCAATATTCATCAACCTTCCCACAATAAACAAAGAATTAAGGCGCTGAATTCAGATCTCATTTGCTTCAAGGTAAATTTGAAGCAGTCTCATTGAAGCAACTGAAAACATAAATGTTTGGAATTCAGTCTGAAACAACCTAAACTAGTATTTAACTTTCTACTCCATAAATAAGCCTCAAGCAGAAAATAAGCTCATAATAATTATAATGTCTCTTATAATGTTTATGTTTTCCTTTAAGTGTTCATCTGGGTATTAGCTGCAACCTCCTTTACTGTGTAGAGACTGTTTGTGATGTCTCATGAGCACAGTGAGAAAGCTGTGTCAGAGCTGTAAAGAGCCAAGACCCTGCTGGTTCATTGCTGAGGGCTTCTGGTTTGTCAAGTCGAGTCTTTGGCTGTTAAAACCAAACTTACTCTGAAATCCATGCAGGGGCTGCCTTGACCATCCTATATGCTACTGGAAACCCATCACAGCTCTGATGATTATAAATATTTTTCTGTCTTTCTGTCTTTTGCGTTTATCCAGAACCCTTGTATCTCTATTGTCCTTTTACATTAAATAGTTTCCCCCTACCATTTGCATTGACATGTAGCTGAAAGATTTGGGCCTGAGCATCCTAGCCTGAACAAACCCAATTTTCATTTGTTTTCTTCCAGAAGCTTAGATTTCCAATCCTCTGGCATTACTTTAAATTAAATTGCTCTGCTTTAAACAAAAGCATACAGAAGTGTGCCTCCTTCCTTGCTGCCTTGCATACAACATTAATGCAGGAGCTTCCACGCCCCTCTAGAAACACTTCACCTGCTACATCTCAGCCCTGTATCTCATTTCTTCCTTGTAGCTTCATCACAGTCATCTTCCCTTTGATTAGTCCAGCCAGGTTTACCTTCTCAGCCATTTCTAGAAGGCCTACAAAGGACTGAATGCTACTGTGATATGATGGCCCACCAAAATTCTTCCTGGAATCAAGGGGAAATTTGCTTGTGGGAAAACATGAAAGCAAGTTCCAAGGCTTGGCTGCAAGGAGGACATTAAAGTGGGAATTGATTTTACCTTTTAAGAATTTTCATTTGCAACAAAGGGATGTAAAATAGTTGTCCTGTTGGCAGCCATGACTTTTCCAAGATGTTATTTAATTATAAATGTAACAACACTTTTGAACAGTACCAAGCACTCAGTTGCTGAGTTAAAAAAAATAGTATGTAAACATAGAATTAAAAACTTCACTCCAAAGCAGCTAAAAGCTCTATTCTTGGGTTTGCATGAGGCCTGTATTAATGTCTTCTGACTTTTTAAGTATTTAACTTTGAAAATGTAGTGGTATTCTAAAATTTGAAGTCAGAAAGCATAAAATTGCAAATATGCCTAGTTCATTATGGCCTTTATAGGATGATAACAAGATAACAAGCCATGATAATCTTCAGCAGGTTTTTGTACAGTAAAGAATGAGATTTAGACAAAGTTATTTCTTTAAAGTTTTTACTATTTTTTCTCAGGTTTTTAATTAAGTGAAATTGTATAAAATTATATTTAGTCTCTTTTGGGTTTTAATTTTAGTGGTTTATTTTACTAGTTTTAGACAAAACTCCTGTGCCTAAACATAGGCCTGTGCATTTTAGAGCTTGTAGGAATCCCATCTGGCCTCGCACTGCCAGTTCAAAGGTGTGGGATTTTGTCAAAGGTCAAAAGTCTCCTGTAGGTCCCACAACATGCCAGCCCTGGGTACTCCAGGGTATCCTAGCAGGCATTAGGTGCCTTCTTTCAGGAACGCAAACTTCCCCTTTATAAAACTGCTGTAAATGGTAATATGCCTCAGCAAATGCTTAAGAAAATTAAAGATATCACATCTGGGAAGGGAATTCCCCCTCAGGTGCTTTATTTCAGGTCAACAAGGCCTAGAGGCAGGAGAGTTCTTTCATATCTAACAAGGACAGAGTTGCTGTATTCAATGGGATGCTGTCAAGGGTCTGTTTTGAATTCCAGTGGCTGAACTGAACCTGTGTGTGAGCTGAGAGTGGCTCTTGTTGAGCAAATGCATCACGGAGGTCCTGGCCAGGAGCCTGGGGCTTCTCCTCAGGACTGCAGTGGTTGGAGGTTCAAAACTCTTGGGAGTCTGGCTAAAGGAAGATTAATTCCCAGTTTTGGGCATGATGAGCAAACTAATTTTCATGAAGAAAGTGGTAATTTCAGGTAGCAAGACACTTAGATAGACACAAGAAATACTTCTTTAATTAAAAAAAACCTTTTTAATTAAAGAAATGAAATTAAAAAATTCAATAATTACATACACTATTAGAAACTTATGTTAATCAGGTCCAGTTTTGATGGTCTGTTGTAAGAGGAAAGTTAAAAATCTTGACTATGCTAGTCAGTATAGTTATATATAAATTGCACAATGTGGGGTTGAGCATTTCTGAATTGTTATTTTATAACAAGAGCAATTTGTTGCATATAATGCATAAAAATTATATATTATATATTGTATATGTATAAAATACATAACTCATCCTAAAATAAAATTAAAGCTAATGGAAAGTAGTGATTTCTGTATAAAATCCACCACAGGCATTAATTAGGATTGTGTAGACAGAGAACACTTTCCTGTGAACTTTTTAAAGTCACTCACTAGCATTATGATTGATAGGAGATTGGACTACTTTTGTAGAAGCTAAAGAAATTATATTGTTACAGAAAAGATCATGATGGACAGAGCAATCATAACATCTGATTCAGTGATGTCCAATATTAATTTTATAGTTTGGGAGTGAGAGAACTGTTTCCATGTACTCTGTTGTTTTGGTTTTTTTTTAAAGTATTTATCAATCTTTTTCAGGATGGACTCCCAAGGCATGTCTGCAATGGTTGTTTGAAACAAGAAACAGATACCCTCTTGCTGTCATTCATCTCTGATCACTGGGAATCTGAGCTTGAAGGAAGGTGAAAGAAAACTCCTACCGAAAACTGGGAATCATTTGTCTCGTAAGAGGAGTATAATGGCATTTTTTAAAGCTCTACCAAATATGAGGACATGTGATAAGAGTTTATGGGCTGGGAATTAATTGAAAGATTGTGAAATGGGAAAGAATTCACATTATGGGAAGTATTAGGGAACTACAACCTAAGCACTCTGAAATTTGTGACCAAGCCCACAGAATACCTAGAGGTGATGGAACTATCTTAGATGACTGTTGTTTTAAAATATATTTTGTAAGCCCCTGCACCCTTTCCCAGACAGACTGGGAAAATACATTCCTTTTATTAATATTACTCCAGGGGACTGGAGGGTATTCTGAGCAGTGAAACATACAGTTTATGGGACTTGCTACAGAATTCAGATTAAAAAAAAAGGTAGTGCTAATTTGTACCTGGGAGTTGGTATCTGTTTTAAAAATTTCTTTTCTAAAGATAATTTTTTTACATTTTCATATGTATTAAATAACACACCTATATGATGAAACATGAAATATATAATTAAAACAATGGCTATAAATATAGAATACTATCTAAATCATATGTGTAAGTGTTAAATAAACTGTTTCATTTCTAAAGGTTACAGAAAACACTTGAAGATTTTTTTCCACCTCTTCCCCCACTAGTTTTTAATATAATTGCAGTTTTAGAGCTAATCCATGTATTAGCTTTTTAACATTTGCAGTTGTGTTAAATTTTACTGAGGAACAATTTAATTTGGGGAAACCGTTGAATCTGTGGTTTGTGTTGTTTGAACAAGAAGTCCTCGAGCATTTGTCCAAATACCAATATTTTTCCCTCACTGGCAGCTGTATATTTGTGGTCACCTGATGGTAATGGATGCAAAGACCCTGTGCAGCAGCAGTGCCTCTCACAGGGAATACCAGGAGGGAAACTGGAAGTAATCAAAGCACACAGAATTTGCTCTTCTTGGTGGAGGTCTCATGTAGGCAGCACTTAAATGACACTTTATGTTTCTGGATAAGGTGAAGGTAAGAAATAGAAACTATTTGAAAGCCATTGCTTATGTTCCCTGGAATGGGCTGTGAAAAACAACTCTTGTGAGACCCAGCTTTACAGTGAACATGAGCAGAGCGGTGTCATCAGCAATTCTGAAAACGTGTTTACAATGGTTGGGGAAATATTTAGTCAGCATTAAAATATGTTAGCTCAGACACAAATTTTAGATGTCTACTGCACTTAAAAGTTCCAATAACTGGTTTCATTAAGATTTTTAGTGATACAAATTAATAACAAAAGTCAGTTAATACAGAGTGCAGCTATGAGACCAAAATACATGTGGTTTAAATGTAGAGTTAAATGTTAGCATTTCCCTATAGAGAAAGGTTATTTGGGCAGTGGTATACTGACATTATCACCACCCACAGAGAAAAGGACCTGTTGATCATGTTGGTTAAGCAGAAATTCAGAAAAGGAAAACTGTAGGTCTAGAGGGTTTGCTTGGTGTAAGTGAATCACACAGGAAAAATGCTGATACCCAGGGCGTTGTAGTGACTTTCTTTGATGGTTAAAAAGAGAAATAAGCACAGGATATTTTTGTCAAGTTACAGGATTTATATTGCTTCTTTCTAGGTAAAATTTGTCTTAGTTATTAATATAGTGGAAAGTTAAACGATGATCATGGAAATATGATAATAAGTGCTGTTGGAAAACAAAAAGAAATTATTTTCTGTGTCCATTTAAAATATTCTAATGTGTTAACAGTTGGGCTGAAGGGCTGCTTAGAACATGAATGTGGAAAATAAAGGAAAGCTTCTGTCAAGAAGATGTTTCTGGATACTGCCATGCTGTTTCTGGTAAATCATATCTGATAAGATACTGGTGAACAACCAGCATTCATTTAGCAGAAAATAGTGCTATCTGTATGTCTGGATTTCTGTTTGAGAAAGCCTTTATAATAATCCTACTGGACCTAGCTAGAAAAAAGTCTAATAAGAAGAAGTTACTAATTTGCCACAACTCTGCCTATAAGCTTCTTTTATTATTCCTGGAAGAAAATGATGTAAAATTGGATGGGTTTGGGTAATTTAATACGGACTTGGGACTGCACAGAAAAGCCAGATATAGCATCACTGCATGAAGGGAGATCTTGTCTCTGACCCTCAGTCAGTCAGCCAGCTTGAGCACAGACTGAGCTACCCTAGGCTACCAGTCCTGTGCACTTTGGCTTTTGAAACTTTCCGTGTAAGATATAGTTTCAGCATGAAAAGTCAAAATACAGCGGTTTACAATCACTTTTGCTTTATTTGAAGCTAAAACTCAAAACAAAACTCCTGGAGTATAGAACTGCATGAAGTAAAACATAAAAAAGTTAACACAAAAACTCTGCAAACTGAGCAAGCTAGTTTCACTCAGCTTTCACATGAAAAGCTCATGTGAAAGCTTTTGAAAGAACCCCTTTCTGCAAGTTCACTTTTCAACTGCACATGTGTGAGATGTCAAAAATGAGTTGGTTTCACAACCCCATGGCACAGATAAACAGCACAGCTCTAAAGGTCTTGCTCTCATTCTCTGTCTTGGCTTATACTTTTTTCTTCTGCCAAGAGATGAAGTTTTCTCAGTTCTAGGTTAGTTACATTGAGCTTTTGTTCATCTGTAGAACAAGGAATTTTTGATAAGACCCAAATTCAGCCTGCATGTTTTTTATAGTTGTATCGAGCACTGAGAACTCATTTCCCAAATCTTTATCAATGCTCTAAGTGGCTCCTAGTTCCAAAGTGAGAGTAGACACTTCACTATTTGGTATTTTAGAGATACTGAACACCTGCTGCTCTTCCTAGCTGGTATGGGAGCTGCAGGAACTCATGCCCTGGTGAAGATGCCTTATCTCGAGGTGCTCTTATTCACAGTGGGACAGTCAGCAGTCCTCTGCTCTGTTTTCAGCTTTTGTAAAATTTTAGTGAAACACAGCAAATTGATGCTGCACTGATATTGAGCTGGTTCCAGCTGGCTGGTGCAGTGCTATGTTTTGGATTTAGTATGAGAATTATGTTGATAACACACTGATGTTTTAGTTGTTGCTAAGTAGTGCTTACTCTGAATCAAGGACTTTTTACTGTCTCATGCATTGCCAGTGGGCAACTGCACAAGAATCTGGAGGGAGCATGGCCAGGACAGTTGACCTGAAGTAGCCAAAGGGATATTCCATACCACAGAACATCATGCCCAGTATATAAACTGCTGCAGTTTGGCCAGGAGCTGCTATCAGTGCTTGGGGGTGGGCTGAGCAGTGTGTGGTGAACAAATGTATTGAGTATCACTTGTTTCTGCTGGGTTTTATTTGCACATCCCCTAGATCCCCAGTGTATTTTCATTACAATTGTTATTATTTTAATATTTTCTGTTGTTTCACTGCTCATCTCAACACAGGAGGTTTACTTTTTATTTGAATTCACCTCCCCATCAGTGCAGCTGGGGAAGTGGGGAAGTGAGCAAGTTACTGTGTGGTACTTGATTGCCATCTGGGGTTAAACTGTAAGAGACACAGATACTTTCAACAGAGCATTGCTGAGTACTTATGAGTTCAGACAGCTCAGAACCCCTTTGTTTGCTGGGCAGCTGATCCATTTGCTTTCCCCCAAAATACTGAGGAGCTGAACTCCTGAGTTTTCTAACTTATCACTGATGGAGAAGCAAGACCTCAGTAGCAGTGGGGCTAAGGTAGGGGACTTCTAGATGTAGCTCTCACACTTTGGCAACTTAGTTGAGAAGAGCTAGAGTGATGCTCAGAAAAAAAATTATATAAAATAATCAGTGATCTTGTGTGCATGTATTTTGGTTATTCATGTGCCAAAATTTACCAGTGAATTGGTATAGAAAAGTGCAAAGGGAATGGCTGAGTACAAAATTTTTAGGGTGTATTGAAATGTAGGTCACAGGCTTGAGCTACACAAGACTTATTGTGAGTCGAATTTACAATATAATAACTCACCTTTGCACAAGAGTGAATTTTTTATAGTATGATCATATGTTACAAAAAAAAAAAACCCAAAACATTGGACTGTTGGTGGAACGCAAATATTATGTGACTCTGAATCTCACTTGGTATTTTAAACCATGAGAGTTTAGATCTGAGTCATCATAACTTGTAAGCAGGAGATATATCTCTCTCTATATATGTATGCATATATAGCATGCAGGCTGAAAACAAGGCTTCTGTCTTGGGGTCATTTCCCTCTCAAATTGTAGATTTCATTCTCTGTTAATGTAAATCACTATTGCCTTAATTGAAACTCAGAAGTCAGCTTAGTTGTTTCCAAAATTTGAAAACAAACCTTGGGGGGATAGGCTACTCCTTTCTTCTCTGTTTCACCCCTTTGATTTTCAGAGCCCTTGAGCCATCAGATCACTTTAAACTTTTCTTACACCCCTGCTTCTCCACTGTGCTTCCTGCATGGAGCTGGTGTTAGAATTTGCCCAACCTCTAATTTGTCCCAGCAGAGCATTCAAATCTTGCATTAGAAGCAGAAACATTGTTAGTACTGCTAAAAGAGCATCTTTAACCCAAGATCTTTATTGGACAACTCCTGTAGTTAGAGCAAGAGCTGGAGAAGATAGCACATGAGTGCCTGCTAGTAGCCCCAGGGGCACGTATGGGGAAAAGTTATTTTTCTTCCTTTTTACCTGTTCATTCATCACTTGACTTTAAACATGCATCTAGCCAGGCTATGCAGAGGGTGACTTGCTGAAGAGAAGACTGTAAGGTAGGATTAGAGGCTCTGTTCAAGAAAAAATCTGCCTCAGTCTAGAGAACAATCCCACCACAAAATAAAATTAAAAGTAATGAAATTTCCCACTGTTAACTTAATAGCAGCAAACCACATGTTCTAAACAATGGGGTTTTTTTATTTGTTTTTTTTTTTTTTTTTCGTATAAGGACTCATTTTTAGTAACAAACTCCAGACTGTTAGCTCTGCCATTTTTCCAGTGTTGGAGGAAAATGTGGACTCTTGCTGAGCTGTATGGTAAATATCTTGGTTATATCTGAATCTACCACCAGGTAAAAGGCTTCTAAAATGCTAGCATGGAGGAACCAGTTTAAGGTAGAGGAAAGGAAAAAAAATGGGAAAAAGAAGAAACATCTCTTTGGATCTTTCTATCAGTTATTTTTTTTAGATTATATTTCTTCTGGGCTCCCTAAACGACCCAGGGGTCATTTAGTAACAAACAAGTTTTCTTTTAAAAAGTATTAAGTTATCAAAACATTTGCCTGGTCCTAATATTAAATCCTAGCAGTCAGCAATGTTTAAGTTCATCCATATCATTTTGCTGACTAAGTCATGCTAAAACTTAAAGTTTTCTCCTCAAAATGGTCTTTCCAAATGAGATTGATATTGTGAGAAAAAAAGAAAAAAGAGAAGAACGCCTTCATCATGAGGAATTATGGAATTAATTTTCTTTATATACTCTGTTTGCACAAGACATTTTTGTTAACTCTTAATAAAAATACCATTCAGCTGCTACTTTCATTGTTTTTATCCTGGGACCAATACAACATTGTCATTATTGGATATAAAGTGCTGTAAAAACAAATCTAATTTGTTAAGTTTATTTTGATAAGAAATAAATATAAAGGTAGAGCATAGTTTGTACAGTGCTGCTATCATAGGACTCCTGGGTATAATTTATATAAAGAAAATAAAAAAGCATACATAACTTTCTAGTTGATTTCCTTTAACAGGGCTAATTGAAAACAGTTTCTGTTATTTAAAAGTAATTTATTTTAAATATGCTTTTTAAAACAAAGTTCTTATTGATATCCATTTTAAGTATATTATCTCAGTGTGGGATACAAGTAAAAGGTCAAATCTTGTAGGAGTATTTTCTGTATGACTCAGTTCTGATCATAGATAAACTTATCGGGGAAACCAAATTAGTTAACCTTTTCACTACCAAAAGCTCATTTTAACAGGCTACGATGGTTTCTTTCACAAATACAGAACTTCAAAGCTCACACTTCTGTTCTGAAACA